AAATAGGAATTTTAAATAGTTAATTTGATACGAATATCGATATATTTTTGTTATGCATAAAATACTGTATATTGATGCATATTACTTAAAATTAAAGATTACAAGTAATTATGCATAAATACAACTTATTAAAGCTCGATGTTTGAATTCGTATAAATAACTGCGGATAAACATAATCAAATAGAGGATGGACATCTCATGTTAAAATATAAAAAATCTAAAATATAATTAGAATAATTATCGAGTTCCAACAAATTAAATAATTATTATCTTTATAAAAAAATTATATTATTAATTATAAAAAATTATATTATTAAACCAAATATAAATTACTTCGTTATTGTACATAAATTAAATTATAAAAAAATTGAATTAAAAAATTACACAAAAAAATGATGAATTTCAAATAGTTAATTTGATACTAATATCGATATATTTTTGTCAAATTTTTATGATATCTTCAAACATATATTTTATTCCAAAATTAAAACATCATCGATTTCTCAAAATCACATAAAGCCATATTATAATATCGACTGAGATAAAGAATAAAATGAAATATTAAAATCACGATGTATCTCGCTGCATTATGCGAGTACGTCGATGGGATTGAAAACCACCATTATTATCTAACACATGCTAATACGTGCACTTCTTAAAAAAGTATTAATATATTCCATTAATTTATATCTACTTGCATTTACAAATTAACAACAAAAATGAATAAAGGGGGGCCAATGATTAAAGAATAAACAACTTTTTTCAATATTTAAATCCACTTTATTTAATGTTAATATTATTAAGAGTGAACTATAACCTTGGTCCTTCTAGTTTCTCAAAATAACACTTTTTGTCCCTATAGTTTCAAAATTATAAGATAGTTATCGTGGTTTGTAAAAATGTCTGAATACAGTCTATTTCTCTAACGGCCGTTAAAAAATTCCGTCAAATAAGAAGTTTTTTCGTCCTATTGTCGATCTTTTGTCTTTTTTATATAACCATCAAAATTGATTTTATTATCTGGTCCCTGTGGTTTTTGATTAAATAAATAACAAAAAATTAATAAAAAGAAAAATTACCCTTTATTTAACAAAATTATCAACGGTCGTGAGAGGCTTAGGGGAAGGGATCAAATTTAGACATTTTTGCAAATTTGATGAGAATTTTGTAATTTCAAAACTATAGGGACGAAAAATTTTATTTTTGATAAATTATAGGGACCAAATTTATAGTTTATTTTTTTTTATTGATTATGTAATATTTAAAATAAAATAAAAGGACGTGTTTTGATATTTGAAAAATGTATATTTATTTCTATCAGATATCATTAAGATTGGATTAAAATGTCGAACATGATTATATAATATTTAATAAAACCATAATATGTAAAAGATAACGTACATAAATTTTGTTTGATCATCAAATAATATCTATACTATATTATAAATCAATTGATAAAAACTCTTAAAAACTATTTTTATTCATGAAGTACTGTTTATTGATGCATATTACTTAAAATTTAAGATTACAAGTAATTTTGTGTAATTACAACTTATTAAAGCTCTATGTATGAATTTGTGTAACTAACTGCGGATAAACATAATCAAATAGAGGATAAACATCTCATTTTAAAGTATAAAAAATCTAAAATATAATTAGGATAATTATTGAGTTCTAACAGAATGTTTAATTATTATCTTTGTAAAAAATTATATTATTAAACCAAAAATAAATTACTTTGTCATTAAATCTAAATTAAATTATAATAAAAAAAATTGAATTAAAAGAAGTTATACCAAAAAAAACTATTAGTTAATTTGATACTAATATTGATCTATTTTCTTTTCAAATTTTTATACTATCTTCAATTTTATATTTTATTTAAAAATAAAAACATTACCGTTTTCTCAAAACCACATAAAATCGTATTATATCGAGAGAGACAAAGAATAAAAAATAAACATTAAAATCGAGATTTATCTCGTTGCATTGTGCGAGTACCTTTCTAGTTTAATTTAATAAATAATTGAATATATATCTTAACTGGTACTTAATTATTTCATAACTCAATATATTATGATAATCATGAGAATTTTTATCTTAAGATATTGTTTCACATGATTTTTCCTCATCTAAAGCTAACGTTTATTGTATGAATAAACATATTTGTTTCATGATGTGTTTGCTTCATATGCGGTTCACAATATGAAACTTTTTATAAGTAACTTTTGTTTCACAAACGTGCTAAAAAAATTCATATTGTGAAGCAAATAAATGTGAAATAAACACATTATGAAACAAATATGCTAATCGGTATTCTAAATCATAATCTTAGATGAAAAACCCATATGAAATAGCATATGATACACTAGTTTTCAAGGTTATCACAATTTAATGAGTTGTCAAAAGAAGGTCTTTGTCTTAATCATATTTATCATATAATAAGAACAACAAATTGTATAAAAGAACATAATTTTTATTCGGTTTCTATTTTAGATAATATAATTTCAAAACATATAATACATATTTAAAGATTTAAAGTTCAAAAAATTTGATTTTAACGTTACGTAAACGAAACTTGTGTATTTTCAGAAGTACGTTCTAAAATATACACAATTTTCTAAAATTGAACTTTAAGTTCATGTATGACAGACTGGTTGATTCTCTATGTTAGCTGAAAAAGTAACTGTTGATTAATAAATTAACTGTTTGTTGATAAACTATTCATGTTTGGTAAAAACTAATTGCTAAATTACATGAGAATGTACAATGATATTAAATGACACGTTGAAAAATTAATTAAAAAATTAAAAGAGACATAACTGGAAAATAAAAAAACTTCTTGACCTAAGCTCGAAAATAAACCAGTTATGTCTCTTTTAATCGAAGAGCCAGAGTATTTGGACAGGACGAATATTAGACAACGTGTCCCGGGACCGGAGATCCCCGATAGAATCAAATTAAATGATATTATTTATGGGGTTTGACCGGGGACAGGATGTTAATCTTTGTACCCGCCGGGGACCGGGGCCGGGGGATGCTACTTCAAACTGGGGTCGAGGATTACAAAACCCGCCCCATCCCTGCCCCGTTGCCATGCCTATCTAATACTCGCCCAATTGCAGGCGTATGAAGGGGCCTGGACTAGAACCCGTCACCAACGGCTTTTTGAACAAACATTTCCCTTTGAGCCAGCAGGGCACCATAAAAAGATATTAATTTCTATACACATATCGTATTATTAAAAGATCATCAATTCCTAATAAAATAGATGCAATCGAAAGAAAGGTTTGTTCCAATTTTCATGTTCCTTTTCTTCATTGTGAATGCAGCTTCCTTAAACCCATATTCATTTTCAATGCCATAAAGCTATATCAGTCAGTTATTACGTATTTTATTTAAGTTTTTTTTATTATATAAAATCATTAAATAGCATTTAATGATTGAAAAAGACACTAATGATTAATACGAATTATGACGTGTATGCTTAAATATTACTAAAACATAATTATTCCATTTGTATTTAGAAACCTTTACGCAATACCTTCAACTCATCACACTTTCGCTTTTTAGGTATTAAATTCAATGTAATCATGCTTTTTATTATCTCTCCACATAACGACATCTCACATGTTACGTATAAAATACACGTAAAATGATATCTGATACGGTTCAATTTATATATAAAACGACAAAAACCCGTCAGTTTCAAACGATAATAACATCTGAACGTAACAAAATTACGTACATCGAGAAATTGAAATAAAATAAAAAGCAAAAAAGGAGATGCCCAAATGACGTGGACTTGTCCCACAAAACACAAAAACGGTGGTAAAACATTGAAAAAAAAGGCACACTCCATTCTTAACGTTTACTTACTTTTCTTCCACAAATATTTCTAATAATTTGTTATCATTATTATTTTATATAAAATAAGATTTTATAAAGATCGTGTTTTTGTTCACAAAATTGATTTATGCTCTCTTTCAAAGCGTCATCATTTTATGAGTATTATGGTCATTATGAATTCTGTGTCTTGAGCAGTAGTTGATGTACATGCGTGAATTGGAGGTAGAAGCTGATTTAAGCTTTTTTATTTTAACTGAAAGCATCGTTTGAATATAAAATGTAAATCTGTAGTAATTTTTTGCTAAAACGTTAAAGATTTGTTGGTTTGATTTCTTGCATTAACAAGGAGAGAGATTCTGCTCGACCCTTTTAACTCCATTTTCTTTCGAGTTAAGCTTAAACACTAATTTAATACAAATCGTTAATTTTAAAGCCGATTTATGGGTCCATCTTTTTTAGGAGTGACCATGATATTCAAGACAGCTTACACACACCAATTAATTATCTATACAATCACAGATGACATAAAGACATCGTAAATTATGACAAAAACTTTTTTTGGTTTAACCTGGATATCCAACTCGTTATGTGAGCCAACTAATCTAAGGACAACCACTTGCTTTGTAAATAGCTCGAAGTCATCACATTTGAACCTATGTGGCTACAAGAGGATTTTTATTCATTTTTGGATTTAAACCTGAGACTTCTTGATATTTTTTGATCTTTGAAATTAAACTCAAACCAATCAGATACCATCTTTTTGTTCGACAAAAGCTTTGAAACCACAACCAAACTGGTTGGTGCATTCTTTGTACTAGGACAATTGAACAAAGACACTTGCATTCCCATGATAAATGAAGTAGGATAGTACTAGAATATGCCCTCTTCCCCAAAAGTCATAAATAATCAAATATAAATTAATAATTAAATTTATTCAAATAATCGTTTTTAATAAAAGAATATTAACAAAATTAATGGTCCTCTTGGTAACATGGTAGTGCATGGTGGTCATCATCATCATCACCACCATCACCATCATCCTCCATTTTCCATCCTACACGAAATAAAGAATGAAAGATTCTGAGTGCAAATCTCCCTCTTTTTATACAACAAAAACACGATTGAACCCATTTTTTATTTATTCCAATAAATTAAACCAAAAAAACACAGCATCTAAAGCTTGTATACTAAAGAAGCTTCCTCTTTCTCTCTCTCTAATAACACACACAGAAGTTGCAGGTCTTTGGAAGGCAGAGAATATGAATTTGGTGAAGGAAGCCATTGAAGAAACGCCATGAAAGCTCATATCTTGAGCTTTGTGCTCATCTTTTCTTTCTTTATATTGGTTAGAGCCAAAGAATTTCAAGATTCTACGAGTAAAGCCATCTTTCAGAGAAGAATTCTGCACCAGCCATTGTTTCCGGCGGGTCCAACACCGCCTTCAGGGCCAGAACAGCCGCCGCCACCACCACCAACACCCACCAAGTCTGACCATCCCTTCTTTCACGAAAACCCAAATGGACAAACCCCAGATCAAGCGTTGCAGCCACCACCACCGCCGCAGGCGGTGGTGGCAGGAGTGACGGCAAATGACACGGCCGTGACACACCCGATTGCCCCACAACCGGCCAACAAACCTGCCAAGAAGATCGCAGTTGCGATTTCTGTCGGAATTGTGACTCTAGGAATGTTGTCGGCGTTAGCTTTCTTTATTTATAAGCATAAATTAAAGCAGCAAAGTGAATCGCGAAAGCTCGCCGGAGGAAATAGTTTGCCGAGAAGTAATGAAGAAATATCAAGAAACATGCCGCCGGCGACTTTTTTGTATATAGGGACGGTGGAGCCATCAAGATCAACAAGCGAAACAACCAATGGAGGATTAAACGGATCGCCTTATAATAAATTAAACTCGATTAAAAGATCCGACCGGTATCGGCCGAGTCCAGAATTGCAGCCACTTCCACGGTTGACTAAACCTCCGCCACCACCAACCACCACTTCGCCGCCGGCCATGTCTTCTTCCGATGAAGAAGAAATCCAAGATTTTTACACTCCACAGGGATCCAGTGCCAGCACCGACGATGGGTATTCTGTTCCGAGTTTGAAACAGAGTCACCGGAGCAATAAAAAAGATAAAAATTCAAGCGTTTTCCGATCAACCAGTCCTCTCCTGAATTCGAAAAGAACTTCACCAAGATCCAGACTTTCGGTTTCTTCTTCCCCAGATACAAAACATACATCACCATCGTCGGAAAAACTACCTCCGGCGGCACAGCCACCGCCACCCCCACCACCACTTCTATCAATCACAAACGGCCACAGAAGAGCGAAATTTGCAGCACCGCCACCTGGAGCTGATATGACCCGTTTACATTCCGTGAACAACCATTTTCAACAGAAACCCAAAATCCCAGTTCCACCACCACCGCCACCGCCATTAACGCCACCGGAAAAGTCGGGAGTTTCTCCGATGAAGACTGTCTCAACGTCTTCTTCCCAATCAATGAATCCTACTCCAAAAGTAATTCCTAAAATTGTGAAAAGTATGTCTTTTCAGGAAGGAAACAACGATGGCGTTGAATCCGACGATTTGGATGGATCGAAACCGAAGCTGAAGCCACTTCATTGGGACAAAGTCCGAGCAACCTCCGACAGAGCTACAGTTTGGGACCAGCTTAAATCAAGCTCCTTTCAGTAAGTATATATTTGTGCGTGAAAAAAAAAATGTTGAATATTTCACATATGAAACAACACTGTATAAATACTGCATTTTCATTTGTTGATATTGTACCATTTGATGACGTGGATACCCGTTTACGAGATGTTTATAAAAGAGTTGAGCGAATCAGACGTTGAACTTGATATTCACATTGTAGATTGTTACACGATCAGCAAATTACACATCAAAAATCGAAAATTTTGAAACTTCGTTGCATTTTGCCGTTTATGATATGTAATTTTCATTGTTGTTGTAGATTGAATGAAGATATAATGGAGTCTCTTTTTGGATGCGATTCCGGTGGTTCGGGAAAGAAAGACGATGGTCGTAAATCGGGCATACCTCCGGCGATCCAGGAAAACAGAGTTTTGGATCCTAAGAAGTCACAGAACATAGCCATACTGTTGAGAGCATTGAATGTAACACAAGAGGAAGTTTCTGAAGCACTTCTAGAAGGTAATTCAAAGTTCATCTCTTCATGGAAGTTTCTAATGAGAGCTTTTCTACTTGCATTTATGAAGTCATTTATTCACAACCAACCCTTAAAAAAAATTAATTATGAATATCAACTTCATATATACAACTAGAAGAGTTAAGTCTCTGAATTATTGAAAAAAAAAATATTTGAAGGTGCATATTTAAATCCATATAAATAATTTATAACTTCGATTCATATATATATATATATATTTTCAAATAAATTTTTTTTAATGATTCACGTATGAACATTCACTTCTTATATTTTCATGATATTTAGCGTAGAGATATATTATTTTTATTAATGACTAGAAGGGTACTCATGCAATGCAACAAAATATATCTTAATTTTAGTATTTAGTTTTTATTTTTTATATCTCTATCGATATAATATGGTTTTATGTGGTTTTGAAAAAACAATAATGTTGAATATAAATTTGAAGATGTCATAAAAATTTCAAAAAAATATATCGATATTAATCACAAATTAACTATTATTAGTTCTCATTTTTTTGTGTAATTTTTTAATTCAATATTTTTATTATAATTTAATTTAGATTTAGTAATAAAGTAATTTATTTTTGGTTTAATATAATGTTTTATAAAGATAATAATTAAGCATTTTGTCATAACTTAATGATTATCTTAATTATATTTTAGATATTCTATATCTAAAAATGAATGTTTATCTTATATTTGATTATGTTTATCTGCAGTTAGTTACACGAAGAACTTTAATAAGTTGTACTTACGCAAACTTTACTTATAATCTTGAATTTTAAGTAATATACATTAATAGACAGTACTTCATGCATAAAAAATAATTTTTAAGAGTTTTTGTCAAATGTTTTATAATATAACTAGAAGCGTACTCGCGCAATGCAGCGAGATACATCATGATTTTAATATTTCATTTTATTCTTTATCTCAGTCGATGTTATAATATGACTTTATGTGATTTTGAGAAAGAGATGATGTTTTTATTTTTGAACAAAATATATGTTTGAAGATATCATAAAAATTTGACAAAAATATATCGATATTAGTATCAAATTAACTACTTGAAATTCCTTATTTTTTGTGTAATTTCTTAATTCAATTTTTTTATAATTTAATTTATGTACAATAACGAAGTAATTTATAATTGGTTTAATAATATAATTTTTTTATAAATATAATAATTATTTATTTTGTTGGAACTCGATAATTA